AAAATACTGACTATCTACAGCTGCCATCATTATCAGCCAGCTGTCAAACGCTACTTGACAGCAAAAAAAAATACAAAAAATACAGCAGTATAAGAGAAAAACCTTATATGTGCGTAAAATATTTCAGAAGAGATAAAATCGGCAGAATATTTACCATGAATTTTCACCCCACCGATTCAACAAACAAAGTAATTTCCTCTTTTTAGAAGTCAGAAATCAGCCTTATCTATATGCAGGGATTGATGTTCCATTGGGAATGCATAGTCTTCTCACCTGTCTTAGGTGATGGAGGAGAAGGAGAAAACAAATTATCACTCTTTTTTTTTTCCTTTTCTGCATTTTATTTCTGTGCTGCCGGTGCTTTGGAAACCACGATGAGGCCTGCACAGTTAGGGGGAAAACTGAAGAAAGATGTCAGTCGGGAACCGCAGCTGTAATCATCTTTCTCTGGCAATGTCAGTGGGTTGTCGATTTGCGTGAGTTACCTTGGCAGAATGAACAAAGAGTGTGGGATGCCCGAGGAAGCTTCAGCATCATGTGAAATCCCTTTGTTGAGCAGTATTGAATTGAGTCTCGCCCAGACATTAGCTCTTTCATGCATCTCTCGTCTGCTCATCCCTCTGTCTTTTCATCTATGCCAAACGACAATGATGGGCTTATTTGTCATATAACAGACATGAATCATTTATATTACATCCCTGAACAGTTGGCAGCTGACAGGTGCCAAAAGGGGCAAACAGAAGCCAGAGTAGCACTCGAGTTAAAGAGGGTGCGATGGCTGAACACAGTGCACTGTGCTTGTCATGCCTGCTGCTAATGTTGTTTCTTTGTGAATATGAGTGCACAGCTTATGGGTAAGTTATACACCGTTAATGAAAACAATCATCAAAATCAATTATTTTTGTTGAAAATGCAGTTGAAACACACTTTCAAGCTATCAAATCTACATATTATAAGTTATTGTAGCAGGGATGTATGCACCCAAAAAAAGTAGTAGTGTGGGTATTTGTGCATGTGTGTGTCTATACACAGTGGTCCTCAAATGTATTCATACCCCTTCATTAAAGAAAAGGCAAAATTCACAACAGTCACTCAAATAACTAGAAAGTGAAAAAAAAAAAACCAATAACAAAAAAGGAAAATTTGCTAAATTATAATTTAGTTAAGTAAGACATTGCTTTTAAATTGTGTTTGAAAAGAATAATAATTTTTTAAAAAACGGTCCCGGACACATTAGAGCACTTTGCTGACGAGCAGTGAGCCAAAATCAAAATACCTGTCAACAGGTGCAGAAGTCTGATTAAGAGTTACAGAAAACACTTGATTGCAGTGATTGGCTCAAAGGGTTGTTCACCAAAATATTAGTTTACAGGTCCCATCATGCTTGTTTGCTTGTTTTTTGTTTTGTTTTGTTTCTTAATATTTCTGTTGAACCACAACTCAAAAGCAATGACATGATTTTCATAATTTTTTTTATTTATTATTACTTTTGTCAATTTCAGCTTATTTCAGTGACAGCTGTTTTTTTTTCCTTCTTTAATGGGAGGTTATGACTCAATTTGAGGACGACTGTATTGCTATTATTAGAAAAGTGTTCACTTTAGCAGAAAAAAAAGAAGGAAAAAAAAACAAACATTTTGAGCTGTTCATGTGGTGACAAATTCTCACACGCTGAGTTAGTCCATACCCTCATCAGGTGTCTTCAAAGGACAGTGATCAGATAGCGTGACCAGTGCACAGACACTCCCTTAAACGGGGAATATAAAAGGCCACTTTAAAATGCAGCTTTATTCAAATGACACAATGCCACAGATGACAAGAGAAAGATGAGAACTGGCTGCTGGCACGCTGGATGCTGGCATGTCAGTCAGGGCCACGGCCAGACACTCGAGTGTCCTCAACTCCACCATTTGTTGTCTAAGAAATCGTTTCAGACAGCATTGCATGACAGACAATCTGCCACATGATGCTCTGGATGGACATGTTAGACAACATGACATCCATCAACTTTGCCAAAGGAAGACTAGGACAGCATTTAACACGTTTTTTGTTGATGCCACTAGATAGGTGATCTATTCTGTGTTTTTTATCGAGGCCAAAGTCAGTATAACCCTTTATCATTGCTGACTTACTGGAAAGTTGGATTATGTTTTTTAAAGACTTGCATAAGAATGCCAAAGAATGCTCCAAAATGTCAAAAGGGGACTCTCAGGTGAGTCGCCTGCAGTTTCTGCAGCTGGTGTTTTTAAAAATAAATCCATTCACTTCTTCTGGAAAAGAGGCGAGTGAATAATCCACTCCCAAATGATTCCTTATGCTGTCCTGCTCGAGGTAGTATCTCTTCCTAGGAGATTGAATGGGTAATTAACTGTTGTGTGTGACCAACGTTTACTTAAACAGCTTAGCTTGTGCAATTAAAAGGTTGATATACTGCATCCACTGTCCAGTAGTCACACACAGGGAAAATGCAAAACTGTAGCCAGGCAAAAAATAAATAAAAATGCATCACAATACAGCATAATGGCACCACCATTACCGGTCAGTGGGGATTTATATCTCTTTCTCCTAAACAAGCAGTTGCCAACCTGTTTTCAGAGAGCTTTAAGTTGTATTTCAGCTTAGTGGTGGTTGACAGGGAAGTGAACGTGCTGTTTTTTTGTTTGTTTGTTCGTGTTTTATTTTCCTCCCACCCGCTTGAGAGTGGTTGTTTGGCCAAGGTGCAAGGCGTTATGGGAATGTGGAACCCCGGCTGCACTTTGCAGATACACGAGCTGCGCTTTCATGCCCAGACCCATCAAAATGGCCCCGTCAGGCTGCTATCTCCTGGGATTCGCTGCTGCAGTACAGAGGGATTAAAGCTTTTTATGAAGCATTTTCACTGCCAAAGGTGTGTGCAATAGCAGCCTGTGTGCCATTTTCCAGAACAAGGGTGGACTTAACTTCACTGGACGGTAAAGCTGGAACTGTGTTGCATGGAATTCTGCATCCAATTTGGACAACTAATTGGACAACAAAGGGGGGGAGGCTTTGGAGGTTTTTACCCAACACAGTAAAAAAAAAAAAAAAAGAATAGACAATCCCCTTTTCTCCAGCATATTGTTCAAAATCCAGTTAATTATGCTCTCATAGAAGTGTGGCAAACTGGGCCAGATTTTACTCCGTCTAATGGACTGCGAGGTGAATGTTAAAATGAAAATTGTTATTGTTTATTTTGGCCTCAGTTGGATGCAGGAGCTGTGAGTCTTGGGGGAAAAACACCAAGAGGAGGATGTGTGTATTCATCAAATCATCTGATGTGAAATGTTGCAAATTATTAAGTTTTCTACTGTTTCTCGGCAGCGTTACACAAGTGAAAATCTGAAGCAAAGACTAGTCCTGATACAAGCTGTAACAGCATCTTCAAATTTAGCTCACAATCTGTGACAATTAACAATCCCTTTGGCCCGTGTGTGATAAACTGCTTGTGGGAGAACCCATTTGTTAATGCCTTATCTTTGAGGCTGCTGTTAAGAAGACTGAATTAGCCATTATCAGACAGTGCTGGAAATGAGTGAAAACCAAACACAGATTATGGTTGCAGATTTGAGCTATCTCTAGACTGAGGTACATTTGCAAGTAGCCTAACCCAGGACGTGCTTGGGTGTTTGGTGTCCAGTCAGTCTTTTTGACAGATCCCCAGACATCCCCAGAAAAATAATCTGCTCAAGATGATACTGCAGTTTCTTGCACTTTACAGAATAATTGTCAAAATGAAAACACATTAAAAATCATTTTTTGCCACAGTTTTGATACATACATGAACATTTTAAAGACCCCCTCTGGTGAAAATCTTTTTTTAAATATATATTATTAATATGTCCATATGGAGGGCTGCAAGGTGGTGCAGTTGGTAGCACCGTTGCCTCGCAGCAAGAAGGTCGCTGGTTCGCATCCTGGTGAGGACATCCGGGATCTTTCTGTGTGGAGTTTGCATGTTCTCTTCGTGCAGCGTGGGTTCTCTCCAGGTTCTCTGGCTTCCTCCCACAGTCCAAAAACACATTGAGGTTAATTGGTGATTCTAAATTGTCCGTAGATGTGAATGTGAGTGTGCTTGGTTGTCTGCCTGTAAGTGTAGCCCTGTGATAGACTGGCGACCTGTCCAGGGTGTCCCCTGCCTTCACCCTAAGTCAGATGTTTTTTTTCCCCATATGGTGTTTTTTTTGTTTTTTTTAACATGCTGGGGGACATATCATGAGCAAAATAAGCAGTCAACAGTTTACCTTAAACCTGTAGCATATCATCTCACCAGTCTTAAAAAACACAGATGCAGTCTTCCAGGGTTTCATGTATAACAAACCCAAGGAACCAATTCTGTCAATTTGCAGGGTGATGCTTTCTGTATCATTTTTTTACTTCATAGTCTCTCTCTGTTTTGAGGATGCATGGCTGAATAACAATATTGCAAGTTGCCATTGTGTAGAGTAGGATATTCTCACAGTTTACAAACAGAGCAGTAGGTGAGCTGGAGTGCTCGTGAAGCAATGGTGTAGAGTTACATCTGCATCATTATAAGGCAGGAGTTTTTAGTGGTTTTAATCAATAAATCCGAAATTGGATTTTAAAATCATGAGTTAATGGAAAAATGTATGATTCTATGTAACATAGCTGCAATATTTCATAATGCTGGACACAAGTTGTACACAATATATAAAAACATTCTTCTAAGCTTCTCATTTTATTTTCCTTGTTGAAAATGGTACACATTTACTTTGCTACCCCTTCAAATACACAATTTTCTTACACGTGCCGCCAAAACAATCATTTGTTAGCAGTCCATAATTTGTTCACTCCCTTTTTCACCCTTCTTACTTTCTTTTCCAGAGTGCTTTACCTGCTGTCGTCATGTAGATGCTGTCCATGGTGCTGATGTGTGTTTTTTGTGTGGACGCTCTGCCATCCAGTGGCTGACTGCGTGAAACATGCCTCCAGGAACTAAGGTGTTTGTTCCTACCCGAGTCACAAATCGTGTTGCACCTGCGATGCATTTTCCTTACATTGCTCTTGGTTGTCGTTTTAGTAAGTATGACTATTGTGGCTTCTGTTTTACCAGGGATGTTACACGTGTCTGTCCCAGCTCACATAGTGCGGGTTTAAAGGTTTTAGGGTGCTGTGAGGGCAAAATGTGACGACGTTAAAGTGACAGTTTGAAGATTAGTAGCTCCTGCTGTGTTAGCTTTAGCCTGCTAACAGATGCTAACTTCCGATTAACTGTCATTTCTGACCTGGTAACGTTATTAAATCATGCATGTAACTGCTGTTGTGAATTAGCAAATTGTATTTGTATGTAAATGACCCGTAGCACCTGCTCAAACAGCGATATAGCAAACACTGCATACTGGAGCACACTGCTTCGCTTCTTAGTAGCAAGACTGTTATTTTCGCCTGACCGTATTCAGAAATTTAACAAGTAAAACTCCACTGCTCATATCTTAAGATTTGTGCCTCAAAGATATATATATTTTTGATCTGTGTCTAATCACAACAGCCATTCTACAATTCGGCATACATATTACGCGACTAGCAGTATGTTACGCTGATATAATTCAATCATTTGGTTCACTCTCGTCACTGCTATTTATGTTATTTAGTGGTCAAGTAAGAGCAGTACGTGTGGAAAACGTGTTACACAGTACTGTGTACTGCAGACCAATACTAGAATGTGTGATTTGTTAAATTTAAGCACACCACAGAGTGAGGCACAGTTGTCTTAGCATTATGAAACAGCAAACTTAATTGCCACTTCTGAATTTCATGTACTTTACAGGGTTTTTATTGCAAGAGATTTTTCAGTCTGCTCTCAAAGAGATTATAGCTAGTGATGAAAACTTTTTTAAAATCATTTACTGATGCTTAATTGATCTTTTGGTGTATTAAATGGTAAAAAAAAATAAAGGGGAAATGCAATAGTTTGTGTCAAATAAGGTAACACAGATTCATTGCCTTTATTGCACATGCATTGATAATGTGTACTGTCATGTATAGTCACCCCTCAAATGCTCATTCTAACTACATCAGTGTGTTTCTGTTTGCCTCATTCCTGTGATTCTTTATCTATCCAGCCAATGGACTGACATTAGCCAGCAGAGATGCTGCTGAAAGACCTTCCCAGAGAGGCCCTGTTGCGGCCGTTGTCCAGGAATGAGGTGGTTGGCATGCTGGTGAGGTTGACCATCTTTGGTGCAGCCACATACTATAGCATCAAATGGGTGGTAGAAGCGATGGATCCTACCTCAAAACAGAAAAGCCAAGCCAAGAAAAGGGTACGTAGCGCTTAAGCACAAGACATAGCCATATAAGTGTTAATTACTGTGAGCTCAAGGTGGATGATAGTACTCATAAAAGTTGTCAGCTGTCGGTGTAACAGACATGATTAAGAGGTGAAAATAACCTGGAGCAGTATTTTGCACACTATCTGTTATGCTCTTGTGACTTTAGCTGAGTTGTGTGTCTTAACTCTCCAGGCAGAACAGCTGATGAAGAGGATTGGCGTTGAGGGGGTCAAACTAACAGAGTATGAGATGAACATTGCATCTCACCTCGTTGATCCGCACTCTATGAAGGTAACAGTTGTAATCCTCAGTCCACAACATTGAGATTATCAAGTGCTGCAACATATTTACCCCTTTTTTAAATGATTGAGCTTTTCCAGACAAGAACTCAGATAGAGATTTTTAACTTGCTCTTTCTTCCTTCAGGTGTCCTGGAGAGATATAGCAGGTCTGGATGAGGTTATCAATGAGCTGCAAGACACCGTCATCCTGCCCTTTCAGAAAAGACACCTCTTAGCTGGATCCAGACTCTTTCAGCCTCCTAAAGGTAGCACAGCTTGTAATCCAATTTAATCTGAGCTAAATCTATAAAGGTCAAATTTTACACTTAATTTTTAAATACATGCTATGACTATAGGACTAAATAAGATCAGCTTTAGTGTAGTCGTTGTGAGAGATTAAATGATCTGGTGTTAGCTAACTGTCAGACTTTGTTTCAAGTATTAGGACAGTGTTTTTGGTGATTTTGTTCTCTGATACACACGAGATGAAACACGATTAACACACTGACTTTTAGCCTCAGTTTTAGGGTGTTTTTTTTATGCACATTATGTTAACTGTGTAGAAACTGTAGCTTTTTTTGTCTCCTTCAATTTTAGGCAACAGAAAGGTTATTTACAGCTTCATTTAAGTGTATACTATCTACACTATATTTTACATAAATTATAAGATACATACACCAATCAGTTATAACATTAAAACCACTGGTGATTATCTTGTTACAATCCAGTGTTGTACTGGGAAACTTTTGGTCCTGGCATTCATGTGGATGTTACTTTAACACGTACTTCCACCTAAACATTGTCGTTGACCAAGCTCACCCTCCACGGCAACCCTAAGACACCTGGAGCGTCTGTGGGATGCACTGTAACAAGTCCGATCCACAGAGGCAGCACTGGAACCTGGAACCCACAGCAGTCAAATGATGTGCTGCCAATGTCCTATTGCTAGACAACACATGTCAGAAGTCCTGTGTCCACGCCCCAGAGCTGTTTTGGTGGCATGATGGGGACCTACACAATATTAAGTAGATGGGTTTTAATGTTGTGGCTGATAGATATATACAGAAATATACACTTATAATGAAGGAAACCATGTGTACAAAAGGACGAATCTTATACGATGGGCCTTTTCTCATGATAAATATAACAAAGTTGGTGTTCCATAGAGTATCTGCTGATAGCATGAGCAAACCATCTGTTTCTTAGATTATAGTCAACCAGATGTGCACTCAGGCCAGCTTTGTTTCTTGCTTATTTCAGGATTGTTTTTGAACCAGCCTTGGTTTTTTAGTGAAACATCTTTTAGGTTGAGATCAGTGGACTGACTAGTAAAGATCTCTGTTTGTCTGTACGTTAAAGATTTAATAAGTGGTGACAGTCAGGCTTTTAACTTCATGGTCAAAATGTTCAGTGTTTCTAAATCGAAACAGTGAGAAAGAAGTGCAAAGTTGCAGTTTATTTTCTATATTTTTTCACAAAGACTAATCATTTGAATGAATCAAAAGCCAGCCAGCATGAAACCAAGTTTAAAGGTTAATGACTGACAAGCAACAGATATCAGAAGTTATTGTAATTCTTGTTAGTTTGTCTTTTAGCCATTCCTCATTACTTTTCTAAAACCACGAGATACATTATGCCTCCGTCTAGAACAACGTGCCAGGAAACATCTGACAAGATTTATCCACTTGGCAGCGTGACAGCAGTGGCTCACTTAGAGGAACACTTTACTTTCTGTCAAGAGTTTTTACTGCTTGGCACAAAGCTTTACACAGAGCATCAGGATGAGTCAACCTCCAAAATTAGCTGCTTTGGGATTACAGTTCCATTCCTAGACTTCAGGCTTTGTTTGTATAATATAACGTCATGCCTCTGGGAACAGATCAGTTATTCTGGCCAAATTTTTTGTTGGTTTGTGTGTTAGAGAAGGAAAAGAAATCCTACCGCAGTTGCCAGTAAAGGTTAATAGGAGTCATGTTGAAATTAGAACATCTAGAAAATCCTGAGTAAAGAGTGTATTTTGATGTTTTGTTTAGACATGATGGGGGTTGAAAGAAACAACCGTTCCAGTTAATCTTTTGTGCTTGCAGGTGTATTGTTGTTCGGTCCTCCGGGATGTGGGAAGACCATGATTGCCAAAGCAACAGCCAAAGCCTCAGGATGCAAGTTTATCAACCTTCAGGCCTCCACACTGACAGACATGTGGTACGGCGAATCACAGAAGCTGACTGCTGCAGTCTTCTCGTTAGCCGTCAAAATTCAGCCCTGTATCATCTTCATTGATGAGATTGGTGAGTTTCATTAGCAGAACACATGTCAGGAGTGATTTCCTATAATATGCTAGTTTGTTGCTCTGTTAGATGTGTTGTATGTTACTCTTTATTATTTCAAGCAGAGATTGTTTTAAAAGATGTTCCATTGTAGCTTCTTGCAAAACAACCAAAAAAAAATCTAATGATCTTCTGAATGAATTTCATTATTGTCGTTCTGGAAAAGCATTTGAAACGGCATCAAAACAGAGGAGTGAGTGACACTTCTTTGCACCTTTTTTTACAGACTGACATCACTGAATCTGCTAAGTTTATTCATTCTGTCCCTTCTGTGATATCAGTGTAGGACAGGAGTCTTCAAAGTTAGACATTGTGAGCACCTCAGATAAAATCATCACAGCTGCCTGCCTTGGCAAATTTGTATTGTTAGAAATATCCTATTAGCTGTTTACTGTTTGCACTCTACTCATCAGACATTGATCACTGGCTTCATACTTTGTTAATGTAGATCATTTTAATGGAATGATTCTTAGATAAATTCTGCAGTACACTATCATTTTCTTTCTATCATTTCGAAGTGGGTTTACTGACTTTTTTGCACTGGCCGTTGCAGGTACATATCCTTAAAAAGTCAAAAAAAAATGAGCATGTGCGTGCGTGTGCAGATTCGACTCAGTTTTTTAACTCTGTGCTATTTCGATGCAGATTGCTATGATAAGGCTCAGGGGGGCACTCACTGGCTCCACAAGCTGTGAAACTGCTGCAGCTCCAACTGCTGACCATGTTGGTGAGCTGGCTAAACCAGCCAGGATGAGCGTTGCATAAATACTGTCCTCGTGCTTTGATTTTGCTTCTCATCTTTCATGCGTTAGAGTCATTTCTGAGGAATCGCTCCAGTCTGGACCACGAGGCCACAGCCATGATGAAGGCCCAGTTCATGAGCCTGTGGGACGGCCTGGACACCGCCTTAACCACTCAGGTGACACATCCAGAGTCCTCTCTTACCCTGTAATGTGCTTACCCAATGAAACACTGTAATATACTGTATCAGATGGGTATTTTAGAATAATGTATAGTCATTTTCATAATTGTAGGTGATGGTGATGGGAGCTACGAACAGGCCACAGGATGTGGATCCAGCTATTCTGCGCAGGATGCCCACCACTTTTCACGTTGGCCTGCCTGTAAGACGTGTGCACGTACACTCACTGTATGGATTCCTTCTGTGTAATCTAAATATATTGTACAGAATACATACAGTAGATAATATTTTGGAAGAATTCTATTTATTGTCATTATGTTTTATATCTTCATGCACGTTTTCCTTTTTCTAAAATATAAGGCAATTTTATGCAGAGTAAACACGAGTGAGTTGTTTGTGTACAGATCATTAATTCAAGGCTGTGCTGTACCACAAGTCCTCCTTAATGAGGGATATATAATGTGTTTAAGAAGCTGAAATGGCACCAAGACAAGATCTGATAATAACAAATTCTGTAAACTGGTGATTAGTCGTTAACTTTGAGTCATAGGCGACGCAATAATATGCTTTAATTTCCTCATAAGAACCAGAGTTCTTTCGTCTTTTCAGAACACAAGACAACGACAAGACATCCTGAGGCTGATTTTAGCAGGAGAAAATGTAAGATGCCCCTTTTTTTTTTCATCTTTGTCAACTTACTGATTTCTTGTGTCATTCTCAGAGACCCTGTGTGACACCTGTATTTTCACTGTCAAATCACATTAAAATAAATCAGATCACCCATGAGCAGCTGGCACTTGACTGGCAGCAACAAACAGCACAAAGACCAGTGATGGCTTAATTCAATATAATCAGCTCACTTTGCTTGTGCGACTTTTCCGCTCAGCTGAGCAACGCCATTAACCTGAAGGAGATCGCGGAAAAGACGGACGGCTACTCTGGCAGCGACCTGCGGGAGCTTTGTCGTGATGCTGCCATGTACCGAGTCCGGGACTACGTCCGCAAGGAGCAGATGAGGCTGATCGCTCAGCAGCTTCAGGACTGCCAGGAGGAGGAGGAAGAAAAGTATGAGTCACTCAAACACCCACAAGATTTCATAGCCCTTGTGTCCACTGAACCTCTTGTTCTGACCTGCCCTAAACAGTTTGTGGTTACACCAGTGTGGGTTTCTTACAGCTGATAGCGTTACAGCATTTTACATTCGATGTAATATTCCCACAAATCAACCATTCTTTGTTTCCTTTACAAATGCTTATGCTTTTGAACCAATGTTTAAACCACAGAATGTTAAACATAATAGTGATTGGAATAGAACACAAAAGCAATCGTTATGCTAATTAAAGGCCCTTCAGGCTTACACACACAACTATCAACATCAAACAGTGCTGTATGTCATTAAGCTAGACACTATCAGAGAGGTGTAGTTGATTTTAAACACATCTGATAGTGTATAAAAGGCTTATAGAAAAGGTTTATAAAAATATCTGATCTGTGTAACCCGTTCCTCAGCTGTTGCTAAGCGACTGTTGAAACCCCAGTTGGAGCAAGGCATTATTGCTGAAGGAAGAAATATTTTTAACTTTTACTTTTCAGAATTTCAAGCAAAGAAAAAAAAGAAAAACTCAATTATAATGCCATGCAGCAGCTTGTGGTGTAAAATGAGTATGAGGAGGTGAAGCGAGCGCTGAAGGCTCTCTGCAGACTTACTGTAGTTCTCGGTAATCAATGCACTGAGTTGATTATGTGGGTTTTTTGAAAGTACCCCTTGAGGAATAAGTTTGCCCCAGCAGAAAAATTCAAATAAACACAAGAAGATTCAGCACACATAGAGCAAATAGGAATGTGTATCAAATAGATTGTAGCTAATATACACCAGAAGCATAAAGTCATTCCTATTTAAATGCAAGTAAGCTTAAGGAAATATATTCTCATGCATTAGGTGCAACTCATCCTGATAGTGTTAAGCAGGTGAACTATTCACTGTGTTTATTCTGTTAAAGTGATACCATTACTTTAAGCATACCCAAAAAGTTATTATGCGCAGTTAAAAAAAAAAAAAGGATTATTCCACAATTCAATACAAGAAATGGAGATTCTCACAGCTGGGGAAAAAAAAGAATTCCACATTGTGATGAGACAACTCCAGGAACACCTTAGGAAACTAAGAATTTGCCTCCTATTTGCAAAAGCATTTGTTTAACCCCTGAGCCCTAAAACTTACTGCAGGCAAATTTGTCATTGCAAAAAATAGTCCTGCACCTCCATGGAAACAGCGCAATCATGACTAGAAGTAGAGAGAACTCAGTGGAGAGAAAAAAGTGCCCACAGGTGTTAGTAATTGTTATTATTACTGCAGCTGAGTCACTAATGGCTTCATAGTTGTGCTGAGGAGTGCAGAATTTTTCAGAGTTTTATAAATAAGTCATGTAGAATAAAGTGATTTTGATGAAGTATCCTGAATTCTACCTTAGAATTGGTACGTTTTTTTTCTTGAATGTGTGAAAGTCACATGTGATTAGTTCAAGGACCATCAGAAAGCTGCAAATCCAATTGATTCATGTCAGACAACAAGTACTGCACAATTACCAGTTAGCATAAAACAGTTATTGAAGTATATTGATTTCTTATATACTACAACATTCGATAAAGGTTAGTGCTGAGGACAGGCTGTGTACAGGCAGTATTGACCTCCTGTGTCCTTGGCTGCAGACCTGTGGATGAGGAGCGGTTGCGGCCAGTCACTCAGCTGGACCTCCTCTTTGGCCTGGACAAGATGAAGGAGTCTAAGCGGGCCACAGCCTTTATGCTACCCAGCGTGGCAGAGGTTCCCCTGGACTGAGCACCATCCAAGCACCACCGAGGGGAAACATTTTCTTCTCGCCTTTGTCCGCAGAGTGTTTCAGCTCGCCAAGCAGAGACTCCGCCAAAATGTCAGAGGTGCAGTTGGAAATGCCAGCAGACAGCCATACTTTTAAACTTTGTTTACCTAGGCGGGGGTTCTCCTGAGCATGCTCATTTCCAGCAGAGACCCACCACATGTGTACAGTTACAATATATTTAGAAATCTACCGTCTCTACGTACTGTCTGCTGACGTGTTCTACTGGAAAACGGTCCGTGTCTTGCTCAAGGCCACTGTAATGGTTTGTCTTAAAGAGTACGAAGCAGTTATTGTAAACTTTCAAACCTCTGCACAAACACCACTAATGCCCCCCATCACTGACTTACGCATCATAATAACCTAAAATAACCCAAGACTCATTATTCAGAGTCTGGTCTGCAGACATCTGTAGTCCTTTTCTTTACTGACTGATTTCCAAACTAGCATTTACTCCAGGTTATGTGTGTGTGTTTGGATGAAAAACGCTTAAATAACACAAAAGTAATGTCATCGAGGCACTGTGTTAGAAGTAGGTTAGCTCATCCTGGTCCTAAGTAATGAAGTACTTAAAAAGAACGACCTATTTCAGTTTCAGGAATATCATAATTCAATGAAATAATCAGACACAGTGCATGTGTCACTCTCTTCAAATGTTAGATTAAGCTTGACCATTGAAACGAGCACTCCTTCCATTTCACCCCTCTTGTCTTCTTATCCTGAATCTGCTTATATTAAACCTCAAGTGACGATTGCTTTCCTCTAGTGTACTGATACTGTTTGGACTTTGAAAAAAAATATATTTATTGTCATGACTTTTTGTTTTTCATGGTAGAGCTACTGTCTTTTTTTTGTTTTTTTTTTGGTTAAGTAGGAAGAGGACGTGTGGCCTCATGTGAACCTGTAGACCTGCAGTTATGTGATACTCATCATGTAGAGTTGCTGCTCCCAAGGAGCATTAATTCAGAATATTTCTTTTGAAATTACAATAATAAGTAATTGTTAAATGTGTGTTTTTAGATGCCATAAAATCACAATATGCTTGCGACAGAAGAGGAAGAGAGGAATGTAACATTTGCGAATGCCGTCAAAGAGCTCATATAAGCGCCTGTCATATCGATAGTCATAGTGCATTGTGTCAGGATTGTTTTAGTTGTAAAAATAAATCGCAATACTAGTTTGCAAACAAAACATCAAGTGGAAAGACGGTCAGCACTTAAACCCTTTAATAGAAACTACAGTGATATGAGCCAGGGACAGCAATGAAACAGACGGTAGCATTCTGCTATCTCCATAATCGTTACCCTACTGCTAAACGGCTGTAAAAATGAACTGTTGCACCACTTATCACTCCACTCGCTGTTAGCGGGTGTGTTGTGACTGTCCTGCTGTATGCAGTCTAAAACAGTGAAGCAGAATCTTGGGTTGGAGTTAAGACAAAGACTTTGAATGCAGCTAAAGATGATTAATTGTCTTCAGTGCATTTTGTTGCACAAAAAAAATCAACACTTTATTTATTTTTTTCATCCGCGGAGACAATAGCTGATGCTTCCTCATGTTAAAACCTTGCCTGTGTTTGTCACCAGTTATTTTTTTAATGTCATTTATTGGGCCATTATCATTACCAGGGAGACCCTATTGTTTTACTTTGAATGTTTTTATAATGAACATCTTCTGTGCATCAATCAGATACTGACATCAGTTGCTGTCGCTGCAACACATATCAGGGCTTTCCTTGTCACTTCATTTTCAATTTAAGAGGAGCATGGCTTTCAGACCCCTAATGCTTTCGATCAGCTCTCAGTAAGAAGTTGTTGACATACTTCTCTTCTTCCCCCACGTTTAAAAAAAGCCACATTATGTCCCATATGGTCCCAGCATGTGTTCATGGATCTGCTTCCAGGTCTCATGTAGACCTTTCTCCCACGCAATCTGAGCAAGACACAGCATATTTGTATTACAGACATGACCACGTGGTGGCACTGCAGCCTCACTGGCCTGTTAGTGAGGCAGTCGCTACTGACTGCTTTTATTTAGAGCAGTTTTATAGCATTATGGGGAGACAATGAAATAGAGAAACCTGCATACTGGGTTGTTTGTCCCTTATTGGTTTATCCGGTGATATTTAGACATCTGTTGCTCTTCATTAGAGTACCTCAGGTGACAGTTAAAGGTCAAAATGTTGCCATGTAAACCAATAATTGTGTCACTGCTGCTTGCAGCTCCTAGTTACCTTTCTTGGAGAGAAGTAAGATGGGTCTAAATGCTTTTCCTCGATGCAGTATCACTGAACGGATCACTCATCAGTTATGTGGTAGACTGTCATTTTATCAATACACAGTGTCGTCTTGTTACTGGTCATTATACTGTCAACTATGTGTATGTGCTGAATGTGAAATATTAAACATATACTGTAAAGTGTATTTATTAAGTTACACTGAGCAAAAATATTTATGTTTTTTTTTTTTTTTTTTTAAACTAGGTAGAATGTCATCTCAGTTCTTTAAGCATGGAACTCAACCTGTTTGTCCTGGTTGTTTTTCTTGACTGTATTAAATGTAATAAACCATGAATTGCCCAAAAGGTGAAGCCCAGCGTGTGGAATTGCAAATAATAATATCCCTAATTTACAAATTATTCAAAATAATCAAGTATATTGGCATATGTACCCCCATGGTAAGTTTCCCAGTAACTTTCCTACGAAGTGAAGATGTTTTGTTTTGTTTTGTTTTGTTTAGGTTTTTTTTTACATTTTTTGGACCCTGTAAAGCAAAGCTGTGAGTGAGATACTTCACTAAAAGTCTGAATCATAAACTGTTTGTAAATTCTCCAGCTGTTGCAGTCAGATCCAGTCCCCTTTAGGCATGCATTAATCAGCCATTGTTGGCCATAATCAAGCTTTTACTCTCTCCACTCTGTTGCTGTTTGCTCCAGCTCTTTTGCTGCTGTCTGACAAAAGGCAGGCATCTCTAATATGTCCACTTTTCTCAACTTGCTGACAGTTAAACAGTTTTGAAATTGCAGTCTGAGTTTTTAACAGATGTCTGGCCAAGTCCTCTAGTCATTAAATCTGAATTACCTACTTATAAGGTAATATGAAACATCATATTAAATAATTTTTCTTTTTTCAACACAGGGGTTGCATGGTTTTCATGTGAAAGTAAGTGTTTGATAATGATAATGGCTCATCCTCTGGTTTAAGCTCCTGCTGGCTGCCATCCGAGCTCAGACTACACTGCTGAACTATGTTGCATTGGTTATTTTAAGACTAGACCACATCCAGGTCTGACCCCATTAAACATGTTGTCACATCATTGTTTCATAAAGACCTTATGATTTAACCACAGACAAAGTACTCCATTGTTTTTAAACCATGTTAATAGGGTAGTTGTGTGTATGGTCGCCCAAACTGAAGTAGTTTAAGAACTACTGGTGCATTGTTATGAGCATTTGTACAGACATTCATGGTTCGAGAGGATGACCCCTAGCCTGTAGCCCTGATTTTCTTTGTAGTGACACCATGAGGCTGACATTTTTCATGTTGATTGAAATATGTTGACAATTATTTTATGGATTCTTGTGAAATGTGTTGTAGATATTCAAAGTCCCTAGAACATGAATTCTAACACCTTTATTAATCCTCTGACTTTTTATCACGTGTCAACATCAGGTCAAGAGCCACTGTTGATTCCCGTTTGGAAGCCTCGAGATTGATATTTTTGGTCATCACCATCCTGGTGTGGATGTGATGAGTGAGGACACTATGCATGTCCATGCACCTGTCAATCACAAGGTAGCCACACCTTAAGGCCAATTTTATACTGTCCACATCCACAAGTTTCCATGGGTCCGCTAGTGTCTGAGTGATGTGAATTTCGTCCTTTCTCATCTATCCTTTCACACATGTCTGAATGCAGCCCAAAATCTCTTTGACTATGCTTCAAGGGCAAAAGCATTAGTGTGTACACTTAGAATACGCCAGTGCAACCTTTTGCACATGTGCCAAATAGTCTTTCAGGTGGACTTCTGTGGACTAGAAAAGTAGTATAACATGCATCTGCCAAGGAGTATAATCAAGGTTCAAAACATTCCCTGCTTTATTGTTCAGTTTAATGTAAATGGAACCATAAACAACAAAAAGAGCTTCATGCTATATTGAAGGAGACGTGAAACTAGAAATTGAGGCCATAAATCTATGAGGAAAATATTCACTGAGGTAATAAATCTAGTGTGACTTTGGGTCGTTTTCTTATAGACTTCTATACAATCTGATTTTATTTGCAATGAGAGGAGTCGCCCCCTGCTGGCTGCTAGAAAGAATGCAGGTTATGGCACATTGGCATTTTGGGTTCACTTTTCACGTCCATCTGTCATATACAGTCTATATTGAATACTTGCAAAACTGCCTGCATTCCTGTCGGCCTCAGTTATACTTTATGATAATTGCTCATGAGAAATTGTTGGAACGCTAACAAGTTCAACTAAGATGGCAAAAATACGGCCAGTGACGATGTTAAACATAAGCTTAAAGACCCTTCCAGTGAAAATCAAGTTTTTTACCTTGTTAACAAGTTCATATGGTGTTTTTTTGTGGTTGTTTTTATGGAAGACACATCATGAATGAAATAAGCATTGACTGCCATTGCTGAATATTTAACCTTAAATCAGCAGTCTACTGATGAGGCTCAAAAATATTTACATTATACGTAACAAACCTAATAATAATAATAAGCTGTATTTGTATAGCACTTTTTCAGAACACAATTCGCAAAGTGCTTTTACATGATAAAGAAAAAACAACATGTATAAAAAGTACAGGCAAGCACTCAAAATATAAGAATACACACAATAAAAATGGAAAAGAGCAGATTAGGTCACTCTAGGATTTATGTGAGAAAAATCCATCTCACTATCCATCAACCTGAGGAATCAATCCTGTCAACTGCAGGGCTTTCTGTATCAAGATTCGTCTCTAGAATCAGTTTCAAATTTCAACCTGTACGGCTGAATTACTCCCAATTTCATAACTTACAATTCATGTGGTGTAGAGTAGCTTTACAGTGTTTGGGCAGAGTCGTAGGTGAGCTGGTGTGCTTGTGCTGCAGCAAGTTGGAAGGACTTCATAGATCTGCACTGTAAAGAAAGCAGCATTGTAGAGTGACCATTGCAGTATTAGGTACTGAGGGTTTTTTGTTTTTTTTTTTACATTTAAACTTTTAAATATGTAACTTTGATACAGCGACATGAGGGTTCAGGGGTCAAATCAGTGACTACAGAGTAACTTTAATATTAGCACTGTAAGCACATGGGTGTTACCTTTTAGTTCAAAGCCTTGAAACCCCAGATCTCTAAGCATGAAAGTGGACTCTTAATCATGTCATTGAACCATTTATTAATGTTTTATCAACGTATTTTGTTAATACGTGGACTTTGGTCTAGTTTTCCTACCGTTTACCCTGCATGTGAGTCGCGCCTTTTTTTCCACAATGTACATAGAAACACCAAGTTATATGAATGTGAATAGAAATATGAGCATCATCTTTTAAATAAATCAATAAATGTTTACATTTATCAACAAGGGTTGACAGATTTTTGGTTCATTTTGTTATGCAATTTGGCAACCTTAAAAAATGGAGCATGGGAAGAGAGGCTCCATACCAAATATTATTTATTTATGCAGGAAGGGTTTGAAGGGATTTATGAGGTAGGCTCATGTTTTGGGGCTCCATCCCTGCTTAACATTCATGACTTTACATGACATTCCCACTGGCGAAACACTGTCTAAAAATTACAGTAAAACCTGAACCATTCATCCTGTTTCTGTGTGTGTGTATATGTACAGTATATGGTATAGGGTGGAGGTGGGTGAAGCAGCCATTTACTCTCCAGGAAACCGTCCACTCTGCTTAACATGAAGCCTGACTGAATGCTTTGCTGACCTTTCGTCTGCTCGGCTCATGCCAATAGCAGGATCGCTCACATGCATGTATGATGACGAAGCATTCCAGTCGCTCTACGCCCGTTCACAGCGTCTAAGACTTAAAGCCAGACTGTGGTGTGGGAATTTCCAGCACAGTCAAGCGAATTGGTGTATTTGAAGAGGGAAATGCTAATAAGTATAAATAAATGTTGTTTAAGGGTATGTAATTGTTGCCATCTGTAGCACGGGCAGATGGTGAGGATGTTTACAGTCTTTAATGAGGCAAGAGTGTTTTCCTCTAGCTCAGTTCTGCAACGATGCCTGTCTGATCTTTGACTCAGAATCATTGATTAGTTATTCATAAAGCTATCGATGACTTATTCATGAAGCGGGAGTCAAAGTGAAAGTCTCCATTCCAGCTCTTTTCAATTAGAGGACAGCTCCCAGTCGATAAACATGATGGAAGAAGCTCTCCCCCGCAGCACAGCTGGCTGGAGATGTCAAAGACTTCCCATGGAGAGGAGAGCTCAGGAGCAGATAGATTCACTTTTGTCTGGCCACGGTCTGTCAGTGCAGCAGCTCTCAGCGCTGGTCTGATGGTCTCAACCTTTTTTCCATCAGATAGCAGTGGTGGAGAGAGTGTATAATGGCCCCACTCTGCTCAGTGACAGTCCTCTGAAAGCTTCACTGCCGTTGGACATAATCGAGCAAGCCCAGAGAAATCAGCGGCAGCTGTTATCCCTGCCACATTTCTCAGCAGGATATCCTGTTGCCCGCTGATGCTTGGGGTTTTATAGCTGAAGTAGATAACTCACAAAGCCATATTGCATAAGCATATGAAGAGCAGAGCAGCTCCACACCAGCAAATAGGATTGAAGGGATCCTAGAGAGAAGCTGGGTGAGAGGGCAGTGCAGATTTTAGCCTTTTTTTTTCTTTTTTTTTTAAAAATACGTCATTGGATTATCACATCAAAACAGGGGGACTAATTTACACCTTCTGGGTCGAGGAGTTTAGGAAGCGTCATGCGGAGGTTTTAACAACTAATCAAAAGGTTTTAACTCCGCATTTCATTCTATCTATCCATCATTTACATGTTAATTTTGTATACAGTGCATATTCATACTATGTGTCTATAAAAATAGACTTAAAAATTATTCTTAAAATTTGCTTTATACAGTATCTGATATTTTAAGTACATCTTGTGTCTTTTAATGAAATAGTTTGACATTTGTGTGACGTTAAAAACTTGTTTACTTTCTTTCCGAGTGTTAAATAGGAAGATTAACACTGTTAAACTGGAAGTAGCTGCCGTGGATTTGTCCAAAGGTAACAAAGTCTGCCTGCAAAACTGCTTTTAGTTGAAGTACTGGTCAGAATTTTAAAAAATAATAATAATTTTTACCTTTTGATAGAGCCAGGCTTTTTTGTCTCTCTATTTTTTATTTTTATTTTTTATTTTTGGCACAAATTTGTGCCTTTGCAGCATTAGATTAGAAATTTCTGGACATTCAAAGCTTTTGTCAGATTCAGCAAGATTTCTCTTGATGTTGCAAACTTTTTACACATTCAAAACATATCGCACACATTTCTGTTTCATAAGCTGAAGAAAAAAGGTCCACCTCTTGGAGGTTTTGTTGCATCTATGAGTAAACCTCATAGTAGTCTGAC